ATTTTATCATGAAATTTTTTAATAAGTGGACTTGTATGATATCACTTAGCATTTTTTGAAGCTAAGGTGGTGCTAAGCCTCCCACAAATCAAATCTATAGCTTGAGACAATCTTCTCCAGGGTAGAAGAATCCAAGGTTCTCTCAAGTTCTTTTTTAAGTCATGATTTTGTGCAGTCCCAATTCCTACCAATTTATAAATTGACTTTATCAGCAGGAGATGTAGGTTTATTACCAGATGCTTTCATATACCCTAGGCTGGTTGGTTGACTTTATACTCAGGCAATTCGCTCGTCGAATATTAGCTTTACAGTTCATAAACTAAATCAATATGTTTTCTGGACAACAATGTCAAATCTCTAGACAGTGTATCATCTGCTTCGATAGTTCAAAAATAAACCTATTCAAATATTGATTGTCTTCCTCCTATAAATCGCAAGCTTTTTCATACGCAGATCTGGCAATTTGTATAAATTTCCAAACACTTTGGATAATAATATGATTTCTTGAAATATTAAGAAGCAATCAACAGTTTATCGATTCTCTGTTGAAATCCATTGTTGCTCACTAGTTGTCACTACCAGTGAGTTAACCTAGGCACAACAATTGTTACGTGGTTTTAGTACACATTTTTTGACTCTCTGGAATTATCAAGTTGCTTGCAGTTAAATATGCACACTAATTAATAGATTTATTTACCAAGTCTTTTTCATCAAATTTTGTTCTTAACATTATTATCCAAGATGTTTATGATTGATATTCACAGTCCTATCTTTAGGAAGAGTATCAAATCAGGTAGTTAAATTAAGGATTACTAATTTATTTACTGCTCACTCAGGACTTGTATATAAGTAAGTACTTTGTCAATTATTCGGTTGATATCTTCTTGCATCTAACTCCCTAATAATATATATATATATATATATATATGCATATGTATATATGTTTCGGTAGCTCAAAGACAGATTACCAATCTATCTATTATTTGTTTTTCATTTTTAGGTTAAGCACATGATACATACTGTTGTCACTACATGTAGGCTATTTAATTACCTTGACATTCTTAATGACCAATTCTTCTTATTTACAAAAAAATAAAAATTACCCAAAAATGGTAATACAGGTTGGGTAAGTATTTTTTTCTTCTGGATAAATATACCACCTATACATATACATACATATATATATATAATTTCAGTGTATACAAAAAAAATATATGAATATTTGTAACGAACCTGGAAATTCAAAAGATAGTATACAATAATTTAAGTGCGGAAGTGAAATAAAAGGTTAAGATTTATTCTCTTACACAATAAGTTAAAAATACTAAATAAATATCACAGAATGAATTATTTGAAAGAAACACGATAAATGATAAAGTAAAGAAATATATAAATATCTAGCATCTACTCGCATCTTCTTACGGATCGGGCTCGAGAACCAGGTTCTTTTGATCTGAAATGGTTAAATAATGGGTGAACTATAGTAACCCAGTAAGAACATCACAATATATCACCGGCACAGAAATAAAAATTGGTAGAAAATAAAAAACAACCAATGGAGCACACAATTTAAACTAATACATTTATTAAAAATAAAACCATTTACCATTTTTCTTACTATTGGAAAATTTATGAAAACAAATTATATAAACAATAATATCATATAGATCATAACTTTATACACGATCATCAATATAGAATATATCTCTAAGGATATCTAGTGAGACTGTCGTCTTATCTATTTATTTGATCACGTCCCTTTCTTGTTTTTCTTTAGTTTTCGTTACCAAATCAAATATAATCACATAAATAAATAAGCATGCATCAGGTAATGCAATCATGTCTCAAATCTCAAAATCAAACAGTAGTCAAGTAAGACAGTAACACATGCATTTAAACATTAAAATATATTAAACCAGATACCATTATACTTTTAGACTGTAAAATAAATCATCAGAGAATAATATCATGTTCGGACTTCATTAGCAATCCGTAATTAATTATGCACATCTATTTAATTTGTACAAAATACCGTATTTTAATTTATTCAAATTTCAATTCTATGATAGGAAATAGAATGAAGGGTTCTTACTTGATTTGACACCGAAAAACTAAATGATTTACTGCACTTACGGGTAGTCCCTGGGTTCCCTGAATTTTTTTTCGAAAACTGAAACGCACTTACGTTACCTACAAATGTCCTAAATAAACCCAAAAATTAGTCCTAGGAACTACTTGGCCAATTTCAAAAATTCGACATGGCAGCTCCGCCGTGCTCCGGCGATGGCGTCGTCGCTTGCAGCGGCGATCCACCTCGGGTTGGCTGTTTTCGACCGAATTCAGCCAAACTTGCATTAGTTCCTGCGAGAAAATAAACTTAGAGCCCTCGATTGGCCAAAAAAATATAGAAAATCGAAACTCACCGGCGGCGGGTCTCTCCGGTGTGGCGGCTCCTCCGGCTCACATTACGGTTAAGTGTTTTACTCCGGTCAACCTGTATAGAAGGAAACGGTAATCACAACGATAAAAAAATCACATCAAACGGGAATCAAAAAGGGCTTCATCGGAGGCGTTTTCTGAAATACCCCGCGACGGCACTGTCG